TACGTAATTACAAATAAAATGGAAATACTGTAAATTAAATAAAATTTTTTATACGGATTATAATTAGATTTATTTTAATCAGTCAAAGAACCACACGGGCTCTTGTACATTCCAGCATATGTTTGTATATTGAAACAGACATGCGATACCAAGACATTCGAACATTGGAATAAACAGAATCCTAAAAAATATTCATCGGAAGTTTTTGTGGCAACACGAATAGAATGTGAATGAAAAAAGTCCACGGCATGATTATTCTGCACCAGATTATGTGCTTTATTTTATATTTTAAATCCTCTTCCAACGAGGCAAGTGTCATCACAAATAAAAAATAACCCAAATAAAAAATAATGAATTATACAATTTTCATCTTCATTTTGATGTTCATATAATATTTTCATCCCTAACATTATCCATTATTAGAGGTTGATATTACAATAATAGCCTCATATGCATGGAGAAAGTTTCTATAGCCTGTTTTTCGATGGTCCGGAACAATTCTGTTGCCCTCTAGCGTAACGATGCTACCGTCGACTATAAAGGAAACTCATTCAGGTCATCGTCGAGAATAAAATTAAATTCTAGTCACTTGAGAGTGAGTGTTGAATGCCCGGGGCATTCACGAGTTCTTTGTTGAATTTTGCTTATGTTCGCTTGTTGACGTCAATTAATGCTTTTTGAAAAGTTTCCGTAACTGTTTGTTAATATCCGTAATAAATTTTGTTACTTATTATTGATGGACCGTAATTGCTCATAAGCGCCAGTGAAATTTTTTGCTCGTAGATGCTGGGATCTCAAATTGCTTACAAAAGCAAGTGTGAGTGATAATTCGTCTTTGACTCATATTGCTTGTGAACGCTAGCATAAGAAACTTCTAGTAACGCCTTTGACTTATAAAACCTGTTGACGCTAGTGTCCGTTGAATGATGATTGCTGACCGCATGCTGCACTGCCGCGGCCAAAGTCCGTTCGTGCAGATCGGCTTTCACGCCGCAATACTCGGTATAATTACTGCTACAGGGGAAATGATTTCCAGCGCGGACCTCAAGTGCAAAGGGGGAAAAGTAAATCGACTGGCCGCTCTATAGCGCCTGATTGTGATTGCTTTCGATGTTGTCGTGCTTGTGTTGCTTGTGCCAGCTTCCCCACGAGGCTTTGATGGCTTGAAGTATCTATTGGGAGGGGAAGGATTCTTTTAAAAACTATTTATGAGAATTTGAATTACTGTTGATGTTCTTATTAATTGAAGTTTATAGGTCACTTTTCGATTTATATCTGAGAATCTGAATTAATTTTAATGTTTGTGAGTCTATTTTAAATGTGCTCTTTGAGAATTTGGTTACTTGAACGGTGTAAGGGTTATTTCTCAATGGTATCTTTCGGAATTTTTAGAGTAACTTTCGTATGTGCTAGGGTTCTTTACAATGATATCGCAGAGGAATTGATGGCTAGAAGTTTGCTGGAAATCTGAAATCACTGATTACTTGAGTTACCTTTGAACTATGTCTACCGAGTTTTGGTCTCAAGAATTTTTTTCATTACTTTTCAATACAATGTCTTGTAGCTGAATTTTTGCTGTGTATTTGTTTGGGTTCATCGTTAATAATATGCATGGTGAATCCATGTGATGTGCATGGTTTATTCACTTTAAAATGTTATTTACAATGACTTGGCATATTCGTTGTAACAGTTATTTAGTATAGGTAGTATTTACTTTAGTTATTTACTATAGAATTTAGTATAATTATTATGATATTTGTTTTGATCTATCTTTATTATCATTTATTGTAAGTCAGTGCATATGTTGTTATGTATTTGTATGTCCTCCGTAAAAGATCGTTACGTGCCCGCAGTGTTCAGTGCCTCTCTTTAATAATTATTTTACGAAGCCAGAGTATTATTAGAGAAGAGAATCCTGAGTGAGAATTTCAAGTAAATGATGGCAATGCAACGAGTACTAAAGTGAGTGCACAATAATGCCATTGAGTCTTTTTCTGCCCAATGACAAAGGTATGATAAACGAGGGGAAGAGAGGTATGCGAAAAAATAATCACAATAAAAACGAGTACGTATGTTAAAAATGACTGCTTTGAAAGGGTAATGAATATTCTGTTCATTTAATATCAACCGTTAACGAGTGCAAAGATCCATTGAAGTTTAATAGGACGAGTTAAGCAGCTTATCATGTTATCCCCGTGCCTTAGATGCACGTGAAGCTTGTTAGCTGTTTTAATTATTACTTTCATTATGGCAATTACTAAGGCAGTTACTCGTTTCATTGTGCAGTTTATCTTGAGCTCCCTTCTGTCATGCGCGCCGCGCACTAATCCATGCTCACCATAAACTAGTCCCTCTGATGCACCAAATTTTATGACCCTATTCGACATCAGATGTAAATAAGTACGCCCTCGTGGAGTTCCATCAATCAACTTGCATAAATCGTAATTTATACCTGTATATTTGGCATTAAAAACAGCATTACTAAGTACTATAGGCAAATAAATACCTCAGTAATTCTTTTTCTATGTCACGTATTATACGTGCACTATTTTTGGAGAAAGACCCAAACTATACCTCGCTTTTCCCCCTTTAATCCCCGTACGTAAAGCGCCACCTGTTGGAGGGCGGCGGCCCTCTTGTTTAACGACGCCAGGAGTCGCTGCATTTTTAGTGCCAGCGAAGAAGCCCGCAGATGCTCTTAAGATGCTCTTTATCGCAGCACAACACTGCGCTAATTAAGAGCGAACAGTAGCGCAAGGAGCTCTTTAACGCAGCACAACACTGCGCTAATTAAGAGCGCACAGTAGCGCGAGATGCTCCTTAATGCGGTTCAACACATCGCTGAATAAGAGCGCACAGTAGCGAAAGCAGCACCCGCTCTTTAATGCAATGTAACAGGGCGCTAATTAAGAGCGCACAGTAGCGAAAGCAGCACCCGCTCTTTAATGCGGTGCAACAGAGTGCTAAATAAGAGCGTACATTAGCGAAAGCAGCACACGCTCTTTAATGCGGTGCAACAGAGCGCTAAATAAGAGCGCACATTAGTGAAAGCAGCACCCGCTCTTTAATGCGGTGCAACAGAGCGCTAATTAAGAGCGCACAGTAGCGTGAGCAGCGCTCGCTCTTTAAATAGTGAGGGATTAGAGATGCTTTAGCGGCGGCAGTAAATGTCCGGGGTAACTTTGAAAGGACTTGAAACGGACTTAATGAGCTCGCCGTATTTAGTTCTAAGGCTGTAACGAGTGAACGTTGTACGGGTCTTTACTTCACTTGTGTCCATATATAATAAAAACAGCGAGGTGTTTGTGCACTGTGAACTTATAACTCTATGACTCTTGATAATAATAAAGCGATACGCAAGCATCAGTTCGTTGCTAACAGGGTCATAAACTTGCGTCATTAAGGGTAAGACTCAGTCACATAACGCATGTATCACATATCACTTATCAAATATATGCAACTAAATTAGTACATCAGTTGTCAGAGGATTAACGTTTTGAACGCGATAAGAGCTTCGCGTACAGTGCAATTAAATAATTTTATGAAGTAAATTTGTTTGAACGTTATGCAACATTTGTTTGATATGAATTTGTGGTCCGTTATAAAGTACAAAGGCTTAGATTTATACGTGAAAGTCGTAATTAGGTGAGCTCTTAACATAAAGATTGTGATTAGATTGAAGACACAACAGTTTGGTTAGTGAAGTCGATCAAATGAGACGTGGCTGAATATTCCTTGCTGAATACTTACGATAGCAACAGCAAGTTTATGGCAGCAAATATTTTTATTCATAATTTTCTAATATTGTTCGGTTTTTATTTACACAAAACCTAGTACGCTTTTTACAACACTTCTCTTTAACTTCACTTATTGTTGTTCGTTTTTTTTTTGTCTGTCTGCTACAAACCTAATAATCGATATTCAACCCACTTCTACCTGTACAATCGATTTGAAAATTTTCACACTTGCGTAAAGTCGAAGATAATGCATGAATCAATTAACAGAATGAATAATTTTGAAATTTTTAATTTTTTTCATTATAAAAATGAAATTTAAAAATTAATTTCTGTAATATTTTATAATAAAATTAGAAAAGTAAATAGTAAAATGAAAATAATATTAGAAATCCAGTGTACATGTGTAACATCGGAGAAACTAGATTCTTTAGAAGTGTTGTCTTTAAAAAAATTTTTAACTGCATATTTTTTATTGCTACTCAGAATTTGCCATTTGAAAATCATATATCATTCTTTGAAATAAATAATTGGAACGTATTGAGAAAAGAATAATATTTTAACTTCAGTTTAATCTGCCTTAATTTCAATACTTACTTTTTCTTTATTCGACAAAGGCTGTTGCCACAGCAAAATTGTTGAACAGTGAACTAGTCGATATACTTCAAAAGAATTTCATATCATAGAATGACGGCTTTGAGCTAGAAGCATAACACTTTTTTTATACTTATACACAGACTAGACAATCCTATACAATCCTACACACACTACACAATCCTTTCATCGCCACTATAGTATTTGTGTTGTAGCCACCGTCCCTTAATTAGCAAAAATTCTCTTAGCATACAAACACAACTCGCTTCAAACTGACACTTTGAAGCTAAAGAAATTAATTCATGAACACATAATAGAAATTAGTTCTTATTATAATTAAAAATAAGTCCATATTATCTACTTCCATCTATTTTTTTGTTTTATAGATCATATGTCATTATTTCTATTCATGATCATATACTTTGATCCTCCTAATGAACGATATTCTTACGAACTTACTCTGAAATATTGAAAAGTGTCGAAAGGATGAAGAATTATATGATTTCATGCAAATTTATTTTAAATGGCTGTTATTACGTTAACTATTAGGCATTAATTGTACTAAAATATCTCGACAACAGACACGGACAACAAAATTGTTTTGTTACTGAATTTGTGACTGGCAGGGCGCCGGGCACTGAGCGTTTAACTGCCACGACGCGACCTCCTAAAATGTTTTATGGTCGCCTTGCAGCGACGTGGGCCCACGGTACCTCAGTAGGTCCAGGTTACATCAGCGGGTCCACGGTACCTCAGCGGGCCCACGGTACTTCAGTGGGCCCACGGTACCTCAGTGGGTCCAGGTTACATCAGCGGGTCCACGGTACCTCAGCGGGCCCACGGTACTTCAGTGGGCCCACGGTACCTCAGTGGGTCCAGGTTACATCAGCGGGTCCACGGTACCTCAGCGGGCCCACGGTACTTCAGTGGGCCCACGGTACCTCAGTGGGTCCAGGTTACATCAGCGGGTCCACGGTACCTCAGCGGGCCCACGGTACTTCAGTGGGCCCACGGTACCTCAGTGGGTCCAGGTTACATCAGCGGGTCCACGGTACCTCAGCGGGCCCACGGTACTTCAGTGGGCCCACGGTACCTCAGTGGGTCCAGGTTACATCAGCGGGTCCACGGTACCTCAGCGGGCCCACGGTACTTCAGTGGGCCCACGGTACCTCAGTGGGTCCAGGTTACATCAGCGGGTCCACGGTACCTCAGCGGGCCCACGGTACTTCAGTGGGCCCACGGTACCTCAGTGGGTCCAGGTTACATCAGCGGGTCCACGGTACCTCAGCGGGCCCACGGTACTTCAGTGGGCCCACGGTACCTCAGTGGGTCCAGGTTACATCAGCGGGTCCACGGTACCTCAGCGGGCCCACGGTACTTCAGTGGGCCCACGGTACCTCAGCGGGTCCAGGGTACCTCAGCGGGCCCAGGGTACCTCAACGGGTCCAGGGTACCTCAACGGGTCCAGGGTACCTCAACGGGTCCAGGGTACCTCGACGGGTCCAGGGTACCTCAACGGGTCCAGGGTACCTCAACGGGTCCAGGGTACCTCAGCGGGTCCAGGGTACCTCGACGGGTCCAGGGTACCTCAGTGGGTCCAGGGTACCTCAGCGGGTCCAAGGTACCTCAACGGGTCTGGGGTACCTCAGCAGGCCCACGAAGGCTTTACGGGCTTTACGGGCACATGAATTGTAATGACTAAGTTTAAAATTTTTTTTTTTGCAATAATAACCAGACGATAAAAATATTGTAAATTTGCAATGTTACATTGAGTGTAGCAGTTTGTTTTGAAACGCTTTTCTTTTAATTTCAAACCAAGTCTCGTTCAAAAAAGTTTAACTTGACGCATGATAGTTACATTTTTTAGCAGATAACAATTACTTTGACTCGTGAATTTCACGATATAGTACAAAGAGGATCCGCAAGTGTAGTTTAATAATACGTCTACTTTAAAACCTCGAATGACGTCATCTTCGTGCGTCAACGCGGTAAAAGTAAACGTTTTTTCTTGTTTTAAATGTCAGTGCATCACAAAGCTGCTCCTAAGTCTGCACTCTATGTCGAGTAAGGCTTTGTAATTTCTTTTTTTTTTTTCATTTTATATTCACTTGAATGTGAAATTTCATGATTCAGTGTCAGAATATACGTATATCCACCGTGTGTTTTGACATTTTTGTCTCATATGTTTGCATAAACCTTCATAAATTAATAATAGGGAAGCCTGATTCGTCTAACAGATGAAATAATCAATGCAATTATCGGAGAAAATCGTTCATTTATATTTTAAAAGCATTTATTGTGCATTGTACATTGAAGTCAGTTACTTACTTAAATGCTCGGTGCAAATACCGTGGAGTTTTGACTGAGGTTACTATTTCCCATCACGAAAGCTTGGCGATGAAATAAAGCGCCTTAGCGCTACATCATAAATCTGCAGTAATTTAAACTCATATCAAATGTGTCATAATTATTATTGCCAAAGATTGATTGGATCCTTTTGATTTCATAGTAGTGACGAAGCTAAATTATTTTGAGAATTTGAAAATTATATAAATAATTGCTACAACTGATAATTTTTAAATAATTAGCTCGGCAAACTATTGCACTTTTTATGGTTCGAAATTAACGATAAAGCTACGTTAATCTACAGTGCACTATTTCAATTATTTTTTGCAGTTCATGTGTTATTGAAATGTGACATTCCAATAGTATTTCACGTAAAGCCATTAGCTAAAGCTCCCATTTAATTCGGCCTTAATAATGTAGGATAGTGATGCTACTGCTGCAGAATAAAGGGGCTAGGCTACTTAACAATAATGGGTCTCTAAGCCCCGAGTTGCACCTGGTCTCATTACCTCACATAATTAACTATTTAATGTGAATGTCGAGTAGCCTGTAGTACTCCCGCTATACTTCTGAGTTTTTTTTATAAAAATAACAATATGAGTTGTTTGTATTATAAAAAATAATTATATGAATTATTGCATGATAAAATCATGATATGAGTTGCTTGCATGCCAAAAAAATCATTAGGTAAGTTGTTTTAGGACTAAAAAATTATAACATGAGTTGTCTGCATGATAAAAATCATAACATTAATCTATCACAAATAATGACGATGCATTAACATTTTTGCTTGTCCACGTTTTGACCCCAATATAAAAAATTGAACAAAATCATTTAACCGGACTTCACACGATTGAAAAATAAATTTTATTGACACTAAAAATCTTTCTAGAAGACCACACATGTAATATGAATTATATCATATTTATCATTGTTTAAAAAACACTTCATGAACATCTAACAGATATTTTTCATATTTCAATCTGATGACATTTTAACCACTTCGAGAAAATAAAAATTGCCAGTTTTCAGTGAATTGACGACACAAGCGCATTAGCTGCACGCGTACGTCGGTGCGCAGCATTAGTGAAGTAAAGCTCATTAGCATTAATATGTATGATATAAAGATATATATTTGAAGCAGAATCATGCAATCTGTATAACCGATTTTGATAATACTTATATGACGGGTTGCTGCTGCTATTTTCTGGTTTTCCGCTAAAAATATACCGTCGTACGGTCATGTAACATTTTTTTCAAATGGTCAAAAAGTTGAAGCATTTTTCGTCGCTGAAAATCAAAAAATTTTCCATACTCAGTAATTATTAAAAAACGATATATCTTAATGGAATTAATTAGAATTACGGTAATTTATGTCGCTTACGAAAGTTAAAAGAATTATTATGTTACTTGTCAAGCATAACACAGCCTGTAAGTACAGATTTCAAGTATGCATCTGGAACTACATTACCCGAAGCCCAACAGAATGATACTACTGTGTCGATCTATATTTTTATTTCAAAGTTCAATATTTTCATTTCAACTCAAACAAATTTCATCAACAAAATTTAATTGAGTCTTCATGTGAATATTTGCTCGCCTTACGAGTCTCCACTTTATGTTGCCCCTCACGTTTTCTCGCTCATTTATCCAATCCAAGAAAAATCCGGTATTTTTTCGTTAACTTTTTAGCGTTTGTGACCTGAGCCTAGAAACTCGGACGTCAGAGTGATCGGGTGACTCTAAAATTACCGTCTGGTTCTATTTTAGTCGCCACAGGCGCGTATTTTGGGACGAACGGCGCGACGACAGGCGTTGCCATTGGTTCATCACCAAAGTCGCCAACAACGCCTACGCAGTCCATAGCCAGTCGCCGAAAACAGAATGCTCGTGATTAATTGCGCTCATAACTGCATCAGGTCAATCTTGAATGGTGAATCACCATGCATGCAGGACTAAAAATGAACATAACAGTGGTGAAGGTGAAGAAAAAATTTCACGATCATCGTCGGAATAATATACGTATAGCGTTAGGCCGCTGTCCAGATGGATATATTTTTCAACTAAATTTAAGAAACAAGTTGAACCTTACATTGGTTCAAGGTTCTGTCTTCTTATTTAATTGACAAAAATAACAATCCTTAATAATCCTTGGTCTCATGATTATTGTGCGATGGTTTTAGTTCTCTATAGCATCCTTTCTCACGTGCATTTTACAATGACCGCAATTCTCTTAAGTCTATTTTCTCTCGTGCATTTTGAAATGAATGAAGTTATCTTTAATATAAATTGACACTCTAACATGAATTATAACAATTCTCAACCGCTTCATCACTAAACTTCTGATCACATTTCTTGAAAGTTTACCTCTATCTCTCGCCTTTAACAATATCGAGCATTATGCACAGTTTTGCTGGCACCACTGCGTAAGTATGACGGCGGGTGAGAAGCAGGCAAAGAGTCGCGTTTTCTACATTAAAGAGCGTTCAATGATTGGGTCTAGCTGCATAAAGCCTACAGATGCACTAAATATCGGCAGGTTACGGTCCACAGAGCGACTATAATGCCGCTATTATGCTGCACTCGAGGCATAGATAACGCAACGCCCTCATGGATGTGCGGGGTGAGTGCTTCAACCACCCTCTTTTCCTGCGGCCATTTGCGTAAAACGCATCACGAAATAAGGCTACAAACAAGTAAAAATTTTATGGTCGCCAGCTGCAGGGACGGTCAGATAAATTATTCGTTGCGTTATTTTGTTTTCAGTTGTGTGAATATTTGGAAGTTGTAGTGTTTTTATTCCGATTTGACGCTGAACTTTTACCAGAGAATAAATAATGCACTCGTGATGTAGCTGAAAATACCGCAGGTCAGAAATGCCTTTTGTGCCAATAACGCATCGGCTTTTGGTTGCGGGATTTCTAATTTACATTATATGGAAAATCTTTAACATATATCTTTTTGTTTCAGTTCTTGTCAACTTGATTTCTAATTTACATTATAAGGAAAATTTTTAACATATTTCTTTAATTCTTTCTGTTTCAGTTCTTGTCACCTTGATTTCATTAGAATGGTTATCGGCTTTCATGCTCACGGAATGGTACAAAAATTTATTTACATTTTTCAGTATCTGAATTTTTTTCGTAAAAACAAAAAAATTCGGCATTTGCTGATAAACTTTTACAATCTTAGTTTCCTGCAAGTGCAAAACACTACTTTGCATCCATACCAAATTGCTAACATTTATTCATTGAAAAAATTTTTGAAGCCTGAAATCAAAGGCTATGAATTTGTCGAATTGAATGAATGAGCTTCATACATGAACAAAAAAACGACATTTTTACCATTTTTTTTTTCAAACGTGTTCGTATTTGTCGCTTTCTAAAATGTCGTTTTTTTGCGTGTGTTTGTGTATGAAGCTTATTCGTTCAAGTGGGCAAATGTATCGCCTTTCAATTTCATGATACAAGTATGTGCTGATCACATAATTTATTTATTCGGCAATAAAAATATTTATTCTTTGCGAGATAAGAGATCCCGACAGCCGCAGCCCACGGTAGGACAGGCTGCAGCGTTAAAGCATCAAAATCCTAGCGTCTTACAAGGCTCTTACATCACCTGCATACCTCACACGGAGCGGCCGAGAAAACATAATATATTACCAATCCACTAGCTACTCTCATGCATTATTCGTGAACTCATGCAATATTCTCGTACAATGAGAGCTTTTTGTTTAACAAATACCCTGGGAAGAATGAAATTATGTGTTTCGTAACGGAAAAATAGATGATAAAAGAGTTAATCAGTAAATGCACGTGTGTTAAAAATCGTACTCAATCATCTGCATTTGCTAAAGCGCTCATTGATTTCGGAAAGAACTGATCAATCAATAATTATTATTATCAAAACGACTGAAATTTACCTCCGCAAAGGGATTAAACATTAGTTCTGACAAAAATATTAGAAACTTTTCATGTTTGTTTAACTGCGACAATGAAATCATGCTCCATACAAATATTTAAACCAATTTCATTTTAATCGACCTAATTTTCGTCAAAGCACCAGTTTCGCACCAATGCAAATATACAAAAGTAAAACTCAACAGCATCCGACAAAGAATTGGGAGTGCGTGAAAGGCGCAATGAAATCTTCAGTGAATTCCTTTTTGTTTCGAGACGACCAAGAATCTCTTATCTAGCGAGGCCAAGGCTCCGTAATGCGTGTTGCAATTTTCCAGGACTGGCTCATTGAGGTCCGCTATTTTGTGTGCGCAAGACTCCGATGGCGGGGCCAGTGTTTACACAAACTCGGGCGTCGCTGTTTTCCGTGACAGACATTTTGAAGCAAGT